GCCACGCTTGAACAAGAGTTTTACAGTAGATTTGTATCACTTTTTCTCCATAAGGTACCATACATTGTTGAATTAATGAAATGGTATTTCTAGTTGATCCTACCATTTCCAGCATCATGTCAGTGGGCACTGACCTATTAAACCCTACTAATTAAGTCAATGGTTTAAGGATTGATTAATGTTTACTTCTTAACAAAGGAAACAAAAGTATCTCTTTGTTATATGATGAGTTAAAGAGATTGTAATGGAGATAAATTTGTAATGTTCTATCGCCGGTCCACAAGCATTTGAAGCAGTGCAAGATTTGCAAAAATTAAGAGCTAAAGATTTATATGGGTAAAGGAAAATGGTTCCAAATTAAATACAGAAAGCTTTTACATGTACGGTTTCTAGCAATTACATGTACGGTTTCTGAGAAAATATTATAACTTTTCATGCAGAAATTAATAAAGACATAATAAAATAAACGACAACTTTGCTCATCATTGGTTTAGTTTACCTACCAAAAGATTGGATAAAATGGAAATCTAAAATCTTTGGCAGAGATTGGACCTATGTCGTCACCTATAACCTTTCACCTTCTATTAGAAGTCCTCAAATCATCATTTTTGTAACAAAAATTTTTTTGAAGTCATCAAGTTTTTTTCAAGTACATATATTTGTGGTTCAATTATTTCCAGAAGATATAAAAGAAGAAAACAAATATAAAGCTGCATATAAGATACATGAATTATTTTGAATTATTTTGGAAAGCTGCATAAATGTAACAGAAACTCTTTCATTTTAAACATGCAAATTTGTATCTAGAGTGCTTTCTACATACACACTCACACTGGATCGTAATATCTAAACCAAAATATAAAGAAGTGTTAATAATAGACTCAAACAAATGACGATTTTGTTTTTTGGTGAGTGTGAATCAAACAAATCAAGTTATTCCATCATCAACCTCTAAACCAGTTTACAGTTATATATATGACAATACTTTATATTTGAATTATTCGAGAGGGCTGGTTTTTTTTTATCTTGCTTTTGTTTTTAAGAGATGAATATACAGTCATATGTATATGAAAATTCCATGATATATATAATAATTATTACACAAACCCTACCATAAGATTGGTGAGACCGTGAGAGGTATGAGTATGAGTGTATGACTATGGTTGGTGAAGAGGAGGAGCGGAAAAGACTTTACCCAAATCTTACCAACTCCTATATATATGTCCTATCCTATCCATTATATATCAAATTCTTTAATATTTATATCATATTCCTTGTAATCAACTTATGTGTTTGGTAAGCTTTTCGCCATCTATAAAGAGAATTATATGTACTTGACTTCCATTCCCATAGATAAAATCAATTTCTAACTATTTCATGCTTTGTTCTTTCGTTTATGAATCGTCGATTAGTCACGAGGCTCAATTCCGGATGCCTTTGGAGTTTTGAGTGTTTTCCACTTTCCCCCATATAATTATGGATTCCAATTGTCTATGTAATATCTCCCTCCAAAGCCGATTTAGGTGGAGTTATACTTATACCCATTTTAATTATTGAAATGGTTAAAATATTGAAGGATTTTTTTTTTATGAAACCAATTTAGACAAGAAATTCAATAGAAATTAAAATGATCGACCCGTGTTAGCCTAAAATGCCTTGGATTCGGAAACAAACACATCATGCAAAAAATAAATGAGTTGTATTAGCTTGTTTGGTACATGAGACCGGTCGTTCGACGACCGAAATGGTAGTCGTGTGAATAACTCAGTCGAATGAGGTATAGACACAAAAATAATACCTAACGTATTCAGTTTCTATAAAAAGATACCTACCTGGTTATTGTTGGAACTTATTTTGATTAGTTGCGCCGGACTACTTTTTCGGGTAACTTTCAAAATTGAAGTTCGTTTGAATGAGAAATGGAGGTCCGAAGTGGCTAGCTTGGATAGCTTGAAATTTGACTAAAGGATCAAATGTCGCACTTCGAAAGTTAAAGGAGAAATCTAAACCAGGCATGTGTGCCGAACCGTGTTGTATCGTGTCGAGCCGGACCGGGTTTAATTGGGTTTTTGAGATTTGGGAAATGGGCTTATAACCCAAATGATAATTGTTAATTACCCAAATGTGTAAGTTGATTAAGTCAACAATTATCTCCTTTAATGTGTAACAACAAAAATTAATTCACAACAATTAAAGGTGATGGAGTCAATGGCATTGATGTTGAGAATTCATTCTCATAACAATAACATTCTCACCTTTATTGCTCCAACAATAAAATGACTTTTACGATGACAAGTCTTGATAAAATACAACAACCGATACCAATATTTGATAAACAAAGAACGGTTTGTGCGGAGGCGAGACACTCTTTCCTTAATTCTTTAATTGCTGTAGTGTGACGACTTGACACAATCAGAATCCCAGGATACAACCGCACCATCTTCTGATTTGCAACACTCAAAATCAGAAGTCTAACGAACTCTAGTAATGTGTGTACTCTCAGACTCGATAACTAGAGAAAAGAAGAGGAAGGAGATT